AAAATCAGAGCTAAAACCACCACCAATCCAAGTCAAACCCTCACTACAGCCGAGAAACCGCCACTCAAGCCTTCAGTCCTCGTACCAGAAGTCGCGAGTTCTCACGCCCCCCTTGCTAGGGTTACAAGGCAAAACAAACTGCCCCAGCACCGAACTAACTGTCTTCTGACGGACAGGAAGCGTCTTCCTCCCTCGACAACTTCCTTAGCTGCCAACCCCCAACCGGGTTACAGGGTCACTGCCCCAGCCTCAGCTACGTTGAAAGAGGTGGTTATGCCTTCCACCCTCAGCATAACTTCAAAGGCCTCAGGCTCCTCTCATGGTCACAGAGCCACTGCCCAGCACCGGCCACTGTTGCCCCACCCCGTCCTTCTGGTAGACTTACCACCCTGAGTCACCCTTCCCCTACTGCGCGAGCCCCCCCAAAATTACTTCCAAACCTTACTTCCGATTTTCTCCCTCCATATGAAAAAAAAAACAGAAGAAGGAAGGTCAAGAACTACAATCCAACTCCTACCCTCGTCACTAATGAAAGATACGTCGACCAAGCTTTCAGTCCTCTTACCAGAAATCATTAGATCTCATACCCCCCAGCTAGGGTTACAAGGCAACACAAACTGCCCCAGTACTCATCTAACTGTTTCTGACGGACAGAGAGTGCCTTCCCCCCTCGACACCTCTATTAATTGTATAGCCCCTCCAAAAGGTTACAGGGTCACAGCCCCGGCAACAACTACGTCGGGCGAGATGGTTATGCCTTCCACCCTCGGCATAACTTCAATGGCCTCAAGCCCCCCATGGTCACAGAGCAAATGCTCCAGCACCGGCCAATGTCGTCCCACCCCACCCTCCTGGTTAGACTTACCACTCTATGTCGCCGATCCTTCTATCCCCCACTTCCCACCTACCTCTAGTTCAACCCTCCCCCTTTTGCTTTACCAAAACATACAAAGATGATAAGTTGATAACTCACAACGAGATAGCAATGACGTTTTTGGTTTTCAAGGATCCCGAGTATGAAAACAAGAACTTGCATGGGCTATACCTTCATAACCCTCTGGACACAAAGCATGCCATGCTAGTCGAATGTCAGGTGGGCCATCACACAGCGGCATTGAACAAGTTTATTGGGTTTCCACAGCCAATATGCCCTCCATATGAACAGACAATGGCGCGGCCTGATCCAAGTGAGGGTGTTTAGCTGTTGCAAGATCTGCTCTGCAACAGTTTGCCCTGGTGGAGATAACCTTTCAGTACGGCGCACTTTAGGTGGTTCATGTGAGGCTCTATTTTCCGCCTCATGCTGCTGCGTCTGTTGTTTGTTTGGGAAGGGTGAAGAAGATCCGACTATGCATACAGCAGGTGTGTGCCCAACGCTGCATGCGGCACATGCTAGGAGAGGATCCAGCGGGTGATGGCATCGGGGATAGTCCACGTAAAGCAGAGACACATACTTTCCATGACAGAGTTCAGGAAACATTGACAATACATGGCATGTTGCTGACATGCTAGCAGGAAAGCAGGCTGACGTTCGCAGTTATTTAAACATGGTACGTCAAGGCCACAATAGCATATCGGGCAAGCAATAAGGGCATTGCGGTGACGAGGGGGATGAGTGCAAGACAACGGGTCACTGGCTTTTCACTTCAGTCGGAAAGCAAAGGAACCACATCTGCCAGCTGGCAAAGCCCAGGCGGTACACCCATGAACTGTGGGAATGCAGACCTGAGTTTAAATCCAGATGGACCAAGTTCCTTGCACTTCCTCTCCCACCATCTCCCAAGTCCCTCCCACCATCCTCCGCCTCCCTCCTGCCACTTTGGTCCTCTTCTTCCACCATCTTCTTCCTCCCTCCTGCCGTCCTCCACATCCCTCCCGCCATCTCCTACCTCTTCTCCCGCCGTCCTCTGCCTCCTTCCCGCCACCTCCTACCTCTCCTCCCTCCATCTCCCACTTCCCTCTCTCCTTCTTCCACCTCCCTCCCGCCATCTCCCACCTCCCACTGTTCCGCCATCTCGCACTTCACTCCCCTCACCTCCTACCTCAATCAGGCCATCTCCCACCTCCCCGCCTGCAACCTCCCACCTCCCTTTCGCCATCTCTAACCTCCCGCCCGCCATCTCGCACCTTCCTCTCTCCATCTTCCACCTCCCTCTCGCCATCTCTCACCTCCCCGCCTCCAACCTCCCACCTCCCTTTCGCCATCTCCTCCCATTCGCCATCCACCTGGCGTCCTCCGTCTGCAACCTCTTACCTCTCCTCCCGCCATCTGCCACCTCCCACCCTCCATCTCCAACCTCCCCCCCGCCAGCTCCCACCTCCCTGCCTTCCGCCTCTCACCTCCTTCCGTCATCTCCAACCTCCATCCCACAACCTCCTTCCTCCCTTCCTGCATCGCCAACTCCTCTCCCGCCACCATTTCCCATCTTCCCATCTTCTTCTTCTTCTTCTTTGTCTTTGTCTTTGTCTTTGTCTTCGTCTTCGTCTTCGTCGTCTTTCTTCTTCCCATCTTCTTCTTCTTCTTCTTCTTCTTCTTCTTCTTCTTCTTCTTCTTCTTCTTCTTCTTCTTCTGCTGCTGCTGCTGCTGCTGCTGCTGCTGCTGCTTCCTCCTACTCCCACCTTCCCATCTTCCCATCTGCTTCTTCTTCTTCTTCTTCTTCTTCTTCTTCTTCTTCTTCTTCTTCTTCTTCTTCTTCTTCTTCTTCTTCTTCCCGTCTATCTTCTTGTTCGTTGGAATGGCTTCCACAAACTCTGCGGGGATTTCGAAGTCCAAGGGGATTGGGGCCAGTCAGTGTGACGGTGATATCTCAACTTCTCAAGGCCAGAACCTCTTTAAATTCAAAAGAAAAATTTTAAAAAAGCAACCACATAGGAAAACCAAAGTATTATAATTTATATTGCTGCATGGAAGAATTGTAAAAGGGAAGAATTGCATTGTCCAGTCAAGGCACTAACTCCCATGGCAAAACTACCCCCATCAGACGGACAGCAATGACAAACGACACTCCAAAAACTGCCCACAAAAACGACAAAAACTCCTCTAACACACAATCAGAATACAGGAGCATGGACGGACAGGAGGAAAGCGTGATTCAACCCCCGGACGGGAGGACAAAAGGGTAACAGTTAAAAGGCTCGGAACCCGGACGGACAAAAGGGAAATCAGACCCAAATCCAGAAATACGGACAGAAAGGTGGAGAGTGGGATTCGACCCCCGGGCGGGGGGACAAAAAGGGTAACAGGTAAATGGCTCGAAACCTGGACGAACGGAAGAAAAAACAGACCCAAGAGGGACAGAGAGAAAGAGAGAGGAAGGAAAAGGGGGAGAAACAGAGAGAAAGGGGGGGGGGGGGGGGGGGAGTGAAGGCAGGGGTGAGGAAGGGGGAGAAAGGAGAGGTAGTCACTCACTTCCAAATGCCAAGGTAGACCAGCATGGTTGTGATGAAGCATTGCACACCATTACACTGCACAACGGACCAATAAATCACCACAGGTTGTACGCACACGTCCACAGCGGCATTGGCAATCAGATAGTGATGCCAAGATGACACAGACACAGAGTGCACATCCAAAGAATAGTCCTATATTCGGTCGCAAAGTAGTAAGTACTAACTCAGCATCCTAGGCTTCCAATTATGGCCACTCCCCAACAAAGCCATAATAGCCATTTCGTCACTCCTCAAAGCTTCTGCATCCTAGACCCCTGAATCGTTATCAACAGGTCTTCCTGTAGCATAGGCTGAAGCAAAGCATCACTCTCAGGCTTCCAGCAGTGCCTATGTAGATGGCATCCATTGTAATAAATGATCTTGTAGCTATGGTTACCCACCAATTTAGACACTTCATAATGCTGCGATTCTGCTCCTCAGCAATAGGTGTTCTAGGTCTTTGTCTTGCCTCCATTGGCATATTACCTCAGCATACTAACTTCCACATAAGTAAAGTAGTATAAATATATTTTCTACAATTCACAAATACAATTGAATATTGCCAAAAAACGATGTCAAATTCGCACAGAAAGGCTTTGATTTCCGATGCGACCACTAATGACAAGCCTTGTATTGAATTATAAGCAAACTTAGCAAAGTAGTAAAATGAGGTTGTCTACAAATAACAAATATTGCAAGAAAACAATGTCAAATCAGCACAGAACAAGTCTCACGGTCATTGCTTTTGCCTAGACTAAGTGCTACCCTCTTCACCCGAATAGAACGCCCGGTCATTATAGCTGTATTTGGCACAACTTTCTGTCCAGATGCAGTGATAATGACCGGGCGTTCTATTCGGGTGAAGACGGTAGGAGGTTCAAAGTCGGTCCTAGACACTCCAAAGAGGCTCCAGAAAGTCCTTAGGTTGGTAAGCCTGGGGTCAAGGGTCCAATCAACACACCCAGGGCCTCCACCGGTCAACATAGGCCTTAGGATATACAGCAGTCAGGCCCAACCCGGGCACAGAAGTCAAAGAGTCAGGGATGTCTCCCGAGTCGACCATGTCCACAGATCACAAACAATCCAAAGGCTCATTGCAATTTCCGGAATCTTCCAGGGCTCACTGGGTCATTGCAGATACTACGTAGCCGCACTGATGGGAAGATCTCAGACACGCGAGGAGGCAACTGGAGGCAGGCCAAGCCGAGTCAACCCTGCTGGGCCTTCTCCAGGTCGAGCACCTGATCTACCTGGCTGTGGAGCATTGCTGCAAGGCTTCAGGCGCCCGGTAGAGGCCACTTGTACAAAATTGACCCAGCCCCAAGACAAGGCTGGTCAAGCAAAACTCCACCTCTGGAGAGGCTGGCGTGAGGCAGTTGGAAGGAGGGCTGGACTCAGCCTCGCCAACTAACCTGTAGGCTCAGCCTCCCAGTTAGTTGCAGAGGCTGAGGCCTAGGTACTCATTCGGGAAGGTCAGAAGGTTCCAGACTGGGATGAGTCCAGTACCAGCCAGGCTGCCGCGGCCTCCAGAAAGAGAAAAGAAGAGGAGGGCGAAGCATTCCGCACATTTGGAGGCACTGGCTGCCAGAGCCAGCTCTGTATCACGCACACATGGCCAGGTCCATGCGCATTGAAGAAGGAGAAGGGGAGGAGCAGCCACGGTTAGCTGATTCTGCTTGGTGCCTGCCATAGCTGCACCAAGGGGGAAGAACCGGCGCTGGTGCTGGATGATCAGGGTACAAGGACAGCAGTGGGAACAGGTGGACTGACCTGGCGATGGCCAAGGAGTGCACTCGAAGTGCTCGGACTCTGTAGCATTGTTGGGTGAGTGAAAAGTAGAGAGAGAGAGAGAGAGAGAGAGAGAGAGAGAGAGAGAGAGAGAGAGAGAGAGAGAGAGAGAGNGAAAAGAGAGAGAGAGAGAGAGAGAGAGAGAGAGAGAGAGAGAGAGAGAGAGAGAGAGAGAGAGAGAGAGAAGTATCCAGTGCATAGTGAGTGAATGGGAAGGTGGTATGGACAGAACTACTAGTTTGTTGTTGTATTGCTAAAAGGAGGCAAGAAGTCGGGCCTTCTTTATCAAGACACTTCAGTGTCAGTGTGGGTTCATTTGATGTGCTCTTGGCTTTGTAATTCTACTTTGACTTTGTTCATGTATGCTGGTTCTGCTTTGAGTCTCTCACTGCAGAAACTTTTGTGTTCTCGTTGATGGTTCCTTGCACTACCTTCTTAACCCGAAAAAAAATGTGTACGTTACTAGTACTTACTACGTTGTATACAAAAACAACATACGGCGTACATTGTATTTGGGTACATTGTATTTGAATACAATGTACATACCGTGTAAAACAGATTTTCCAGCACAACCATTTTTAAAAATATTATTTTTAGCACGTACGTTATTATTTCGGGTACAACTTTTCGGGAGCCATAAGGGTATCTGAAAAAGAAAAAACAAAATGGACCCTAGTACTTTAGCTGAAGAGCACAGCAGGGGAGGTGAGGCAGTCCTGAGGGGAGGTCCTGCTAGCAAAGCGTTTTAGATTTTCAAATGCCTGAATCGGGATACTTTTGTGCAGAGGTGTCCGCATCCAGCTTAAATTCTGTGAAGTCCAGAATTTTCAGCAAAATTACAAGGAAGGAAAACATTTTCCAGAATTACAGGAGACTGAGGAGAGTTTTTTTTTTTTTTTTTGAGTTTAACATCTGCCGGGCGGGCTAGCGGTGGTGGTACGAGCAGTCCCCGCTAGCCTCCTGGAGGATGCCTCTGTTGCAGACTGCAATTGACCCACAAGGGTCCCACACACAATTTCACAAAAACAAAGCAGAGCTCCAATAATCACTCCTATGGCACGCACACCCTCAAGGGTGCTAATTAGTAATTACTAACTAAATGGTACACACCACATCACAATGTAGTACCTACTTATCAATGGTCGCTAGACTCTCTACTTTTTGAAGTCGAATCCAGAAATTGTGAACTCATTGCCTGGGCCAACCATCCAACAACCCCCACTTTCCCAACTTTGACTCCTATGAGCAAATTATTAGGGACAGAACTGGAGGCAGAACTTCACCATTCGATGAGATACGCACAGAGGGAACGGCCGACAAAAGCAGTTTTTTTCAAGGATTGCTAGAACAATCATAAGACACACGTCCTGGCAGGCTGTGCACGGAGTGTGCAGTTTCAAGGATTGGTTTTCACCCTGCAAAGGCAGTTGAACAAATAGGTAGAGGAGACACCAGAATCACTACAGCCTGCGTTCGATTTCCATACTTGCATCCTTTCTCTGTGCTGTTTCAGGTGTATGTTTCTTTTTCCTTTTTTTTTTTAATAGAATCAAGAAGAAACAATTCTCAATCTGTCAATCCTTGATATGTCTGGACCTGTAGGTTTGTTTTTTACTCTTACCTTGTATACTGGCCGGTTCCCAGCTGGAGAGACTGGCCCGATGAACTCTTTCCCAGGCATGGCAAGCAGGAGCAAAGCCTCAAAAGATGCAAATGAACCAATCAATTTCCACGCCATGCCACTTGGTTGTGGCCATACGGCCAGAACGGAGCCAAGACCTTCCTTCCAGCACATTGTTATGAAGGAGGACAAAGATCCATCAAGGTGCGCTATGATATACCACCTGCCAAGAGCAGGAAAGAAAGCAAACGGGAACAAATGGAGAAGGAAAGAAAGCAAACGGGAAACAAAACGGACAAACAGAAAGGGGGATGCAGGTCAGTGCATCACTTCAAGCCAAACCACCACCACCTCGGAGTTTCAATTTGGCAGTCATTAATCCTTCCCTGTCATTCCCTCAGGTTCTTCCTAAATGGAATGGGCCATCACCGTAAAGCACCATATGACTCCAGTTGAATGAAGACAAGATTTAGGACATGACCTGATGCAGCCAACAGAAAAGATACGAACAAGAAACAAGAACGACCGACAAGAAGGAGAACAACAAGAAGGGAAAGAAGGAAAAAGGGAGAAGGAGAAGGAGGAGGAGCACAGCCACAACGGCGACGACGACGACGACGACGACGAAGAAGAAGAAGAAGAAGAAGAAGAAGAAGAAGAAGAAGAAGAAGAAGAAGAAAGATAAGAACAAGAAACAAGAACGACCGACAAGAAGGAGAACAAGAGACAGAGAACAATAAGAAGGGAAAAAAGGAAAAAGGGAGAGGGAGGAGGAGGAGGAGCACAGCCACAGCCACAAGGACGACTGTGAAGAAGAAGAAGAAGAAGAAGGCATTCCCAACTGTGCGACGTGGCTGCTGTCACTCGCTGCATTCTCATTGGCACACAGGCCACAAGCCACATGGCTGCCTGATCTCTCATTGGCCGAGAGAGCTCTGGCATTGTTGCAAGCTGGGTGAGGCCAGAAGCTCAGCATGTCGTACTTCCACTGGGCGTAACCAACTGGCGGGTGGCAACTGTCTGGTGCCCCAGCATGCAGAAATGACAAAACTTGGGCCTCGCGTCGAAAAGCAGGCCCGCCTTCACTTAGGGCAAGCACGTAGCTTGCTGGGGCGCCTTTGCCAGTCGGGTGCCGAGGCCTGAAAGGCCTTGCGAGGGCTCAATCCTCCCAATAATTACAATAATTACTCACAGTAGAATGAAAAACTACAAGTAGCCTAATAAATAGATTATGCACAATAATTTACAGCTCAAGCGTGCACAAGCAGAGTCTTCATCCGTGTGCCACCACTCCATTTCCATTGTGCCATGCTTTCAACCAGCCCCAATGAAGGCTCTTTGAGAACGCTGGTGCCCTTAGGAAAACTTGCTAGGGTATTGAAGAAGAGCGCCAGGGGGTAAGCTGGATGCGTGAGTTCATGCTTCATTGCAATGAGTGTACTTTCACGTTTTTTGCATCTGAGGCTCCCGGTGATCACTCCCAATCTTTGCTCTCTTATCTGGACAGGAGCAGAAGTCTCGGACGCAATGATGGATGACCTGTTCGCTGAACGCCACCCAGCTGACACCGCAGTTCATTCTTGATCCTTGGCTCCATGACGAAATGGGTCATTCTTGCTATATGCCTTGTAATCTGCACTCCAACGAAGTTGAGAGTGTCGGAACCGACGGGAGCCATTCGGACGAGTGAAAGTTAATCTCCATAACAGGTCCCAAACTCTTCCAACATCTCAATTGCTCTTCAGGCTGATTCTTCTTTCCTTCTGTGAAAGGGAGCATCCGCAAATCGTCGTCCATGAATCTCACCCAAAGAACCAGCTTCTGATGACTTCCAAGTGAGCTCAGGTATTCCCCATTGTACTTAGCGCACAGCAGGCATGCCAATTCCTGTTTCAACAAGTTCTGTTTGCACATAGCATGGGTGTGCTGCATCTCAAAACGGAACCAACTTCAGGCTGAGTGTCACCTGCTTAATCCTCTTGCTAACAGTAATTTTGTGGTATCATCCTCACTCCCCGCACTCCTTCAATAGCCAAGCACATCGTCATCCATGAATCTCACCCCATGAACCAGCTTTCTTTTCTTTTTTTTTTGAAAAAAACAGGTCCTTGTGGCTCCGACCAGGACCAGCCCCATGTATCAATTATGGGGAGCGTTAGTCAGTCCGGTTCCTATTCCACCGGCAAGGCAAGATACAACAAGAACACTCTCACGCTTCCTTCCGTTTGGCCGAAGGACCCCTGAACAGCATTGATTGCTCCAGATGCCTGGAGGAGGATTGACCATCAGCTTGTCTTCCCTCTACCTTTCCTCTCAGGTCTGTTTTCCCAAACCTGCCAAATCTAACTTGAAAGTTGAACCCAAGAAAGAATGAAGAGGTATGGAAGCCAGAAGCCCCAAAAATTGTCTGGGTTGGCTTGTAGGAACTTTGATCTTGCAACTCATACATAGACCGTTTCCTATTCGATCTCCTCCTCTGTAGCATGCAATCAAATTAGGTGGCCAGTATCGGGTCCTGCAGATATGCTCATTAGGACATCTGCCTTCTATGCCCCACTTCTGAGTTGTGCCAGTCATTTCACACCCCTACGGTGGAGCCCTTTATGTCTGCTACACTGCTTCCCACCAGCCATTCCTTTGCATTTGAGAAAAGGTTAACCGACCCCCCATTTTTCACCTCAATTTATAAGAAAACCATAAGGTCATCCCAAGCAAACTTCACACCAATCTATAGAGTGCACTTCTTACTAACATATTATAARAAAAATACCAAAAAAAAAAAATTAAAAACACATAAAACAGAAACTCAAAAGTGCATTTTCAGGCAATTTTGCCAAAAAACAACTTCATCAAAATTTCAGGATTTTCAGGATGATTAACAGCACAAATTCTAATAACCCAAATGACACCAAATTTGACACACAGCAAACTTGTGAAATTTAGCTCTGGTTTTCTGCTGCCGGTCCGGATCTTCTGGCATTGAATGCTTGGTTTTCTGAAGTTTTCTCCCTTTACTTAGAATCTCAGCCTGAATCAGTAACCTTGTGGCCGCCCACGTGGACTCGAGAGACCCTCAAGAGTTATGCTGCACCTTTCCTTTCATAATATGGACAATAGTGTCGCCTTTCTGATCATGTCGAGCCAGATCATCTCCATCCTCCGGAAGTGGGAACTGATGTTAGTCCATAGGAGGAGGAGTTGGATAGGGTGTTCCGGAGAGTGGGTACGGAAATGGGATTCCCAGAGGTCGGATGCCCAAAGACCAGTATTCAGTCACCTCTTGACATCGTACTAAACAGTCTATCATGTCTTCTGATTCCGTGTCCGAGCAGACCACACAGCTGTTGGGATCTGTCCTCCTCCTCCTGATATGCAACCATTGGTTGCCTGGTAGAGCCATGTAGGAGATGAGCAATTGGAGGCCCCTGATTTTGACAGGCCAAACTGTTTTGTATTTTTTGTTCATGGTATTTGGGATATATGATTAGCGTACTGACCAATTAGCTTTGACCATCTATTCTTAGTTATGGGATCCGGATCTTTGGTCTTGAGCGATAAGTTATATCCCAGTTTAACTCTGTACTCCCAAATCTGGACGGCCGCCCTGACATTCTTACTTCTGCCTGGTGTCCAGGCCCACTCTACCAGGTCGAATTCTAAGTCTTGAATTGCCATGGCAGTCATGAAGATTGTTTTTGGCCACACCCCCAACACTCTTACTTTTCTGAGCACGGATGGATTTAGGACTGATAGTTGTTTTTGGCCACACCCCCAACACTCTTACTTTTCTGAGCACGGATGGATTTAGGACTGATAGCTCCACATCTTTGTCTAGAATGGATGGGGAGCCATACTTTGTATAGGTAATTGGAAAGGAGGTGAATATAGCAAGGGTGTCTGATCCCTGTTGCTTTTGGGAAAATTGGAACGCCCTTCTTGGTGCTGTTTCCTGGACCAGCACTCCCTAGTCCCCTGATTTCCAAGTAAAGTTTTCTCTCAACAAATACTTCCAGCCTTCTGGGATGTGCGAGGAATGAGTTCTCACATCGGCCACCAGAACGCGGCCTTCCAATGCCCAAGGGCTCCCCAGCAAGTGAAGTTCCACCCTAAGTGAAGGCGGGCCTGAGTTCGGACATAGGGGCCCATTTTTGTCATTTCTGCATTGTTGGGCACCAGACAGTTACCACGCGCCAGTTGGTTACACAGGCCCTGCTCACAAGCATCAGAATCTTTGGAGAACCTTCCAGGCTCTTCTAAGCTTGGACGTGGAGGCTGGCCTCTTGGCCAATGAGAGCACAGGGAGCGACGTGGCTGGGCCTCCGTAGGCCAATGAGAATGCAGTGTTCGACAGCAGCCACGTCGCACAGTTGGGCAAGCCTCAATGCTGCGGTCCCAGGCAACTATCTGCATGGGCCTGGGCGCAGACACTTTGGCCCAACGTGAAGCTACTGGGCACACCCTGGCCAGGCCCAGGCAGTCAGAAGCTGGGCTGCACATTCCATAAAGGAAAGTGCCTCCCCCAGCAGAGGCACATTCTGGCTTGCAGCTGCTGGGCGGCCACGCTGCTGCACTGTAAGCAGACAGGCTGCCCGAGCACTAGCCAGAGGCGCACGCGGGCTCTGCGAAGTGAGTGGGGCGCAGGCGGTTGTAGCCGGACTGCACGTGCGGTGGCCGGTGGGCGATAGTGGTCTTCGGGATGAGGGCGCACACGTGGGGGAGAAGGATGTGAGAGGGGAGAGGATGAGAGGCACGTACCTGGTGTACGCTGGCAGTCTGCATTGGTGACGTTGTCACGTATATTAGTCTTGAGCTCAAAGTGCTCCTGTTGCATATACATGTAGTAGCTGAATAGGATAGGCTAGGCGCTGTGCGTCAATCAAGTAGAGTGACATTGGATACTATGTTGGTGTGGCGAGAGAATGTCCACATTGACATCTGAGTTCATTGTAGTGCTCTTATTCGGCTGGTATTTCGGTGCATTGTGCTTTCTGCTTGGTACATTACTATCTGGTCTACAGCGTGATATTGCAATTCGGTTTTCTGCCTATCGCTCTCGCTTCTTTTCCTTGCAGATGCTTTTAATGACAATTTGTAAGTTCTCACTCATCTCGGCGGTGGCATCCCTTGAGATGGTAACCAAGCTCCTGTTCCAAAAGCCAGTCGTTTTCTCAAATATGGCTCACTTTCCAAACTCCATGGTTCATCCATGATATCCATCTCCTG